CATACACACAAGCACACACACACACAGATAGAGATATATATATATATACACATGTACGCATACATATATGTCTGTACAGAGGTACTGCGGAGAGCCCAGAAAAAGAAACAGAACGAATTCCCCACCCCCCCCCCTCCCCCCTCGCCCGCACCCCAGCGAGTTTTGCTTGTTCCCTGCGACTGGCTTCCCGAGGCCTTCGGCCATCGGATGTCGCGACAAATCTTCGCGTTCAAGGTCAAGGGTTTAGTCAGGGGACCTTCGAAACAGTGTTGGGGTTTTGGGTATGTTGTTATCGTATGGTTATCAGGTTGAGGGCTTAGACTTCACAGTTTCTAGGAGACTGGATGTCGTAATGTAGGGGCTCTGATAATCGGAACAGGGTTTGCTATATATATATATATGTGTGTACATATATATATATATATCAATATCAATTACGATATTCATTAAGGAGCCCGAAGGACTAGCCTGTTCCCCCGAGAAAAAATGTTTAGGAGTTCCGGGGCTTGTAGGCACAGGGGCTTTCGGAATCTTACAACGAGCTCTCCTCTTGTTAAACAAAGCTGAGTCTAAGCAAAAGGGCACTAAAAAAGCACAAAACCCGAAGTTTTCTCTGTGTTCCTCCGTTTCAAATGTGGGGACCTCACTCATTCGAACAGGGTTTTGGGGTACATTCGACTTTTTCTATAATAAGGAACCGCCAAAATAGTATAGGGTAAATATTCCGGCCCCTCTTTTGCCCCGTGTGCCCCCTATAACCGACTGTAACTATAATAAGGAACCGCCAAAATAATGTAGGGTAAATATATTTAGGCCTCTCTTTTACTCTAAAACCTAAACCCTAAACCCCTCAAGCCTAAACCCTGGGGAGCCCTAGAGGCGGAAGGGCCGCAGCGCTTCGTAGAGGGACCGGTTGAAGCCCTTCTCGTCGATCCAGACCTCCGTGAAAAGGGAGCCCAGGGCTCCGCCCCCTTTTTCGGTTCGGATCTTTCGTATGGGTGAAATTAGGGTTTAGGTCTGGGGTTTAGGGTTTAGGGTGAAAAGGGAGCCCAGGGCTCGATGCCCTTTTTTCGGATTCGGATCTTTCCTGGGGTTGAGGGTTTAGGGTCTTCTTCGGGACAGATCTTTCCTGCAGTTTAGGGCTTTTTTCGGGTTCGGATCTTTCCTGGGGCTTAGGGTTTAGGGTGAAATTCGGGTTTAGGGACTCGCTTTGCTGGTATCCCTTCGTGGTCACGTTCAAGATGGCTCAATGCTTGAACGGGCGAGGGCTTCTGGCCGGAAAGCTTGAGAGATTCAGGGTGCAGCGCTCAGGGTCAATGGCACCGGGTGACGGTTTCCACTGCATGGGCGATGCAACTACTGTTTCTACTATGCAGAATAGGAATAGCCATAACTTGAAGGTGTATGGGTTCAAGGACAACTTCACTCGGTGCGCTTTCTCAGAGAGCCTCGTATTGGCGACGCCTTGTCACGAGCGATCATGGCTTTGAGGTTCCGGGGTGGGACCTAGAGTACATGTCATAAGACCATGTGGTGGGAAGTCGTCGATTTTCCGCGGTAAGCCGAGTACCTTGCGCTCCTGCAACAGAGGACTACAGTAGTGGTATACTAGCATCTTTAGAATAACCTCTAAATCACATGCGCTGCCGTGGAACAGAACCCATGGAACTTAATCCATGGTGTTGGACCTGAAATCCGTCTGTACACAGGGGCATCAGCACTCACTTCATAGCCTGGGTTGTGCTTTAAGGGCTCCCAAAAGGGTCTCTCTAGAGGCCCATAAAAAGGAAAATCAAAAGTGTGCCAAAACTCCATCTAGTAGCTTTCATCGCCTTCATCGATTTCATGGCGCTTGCTTTCGCCTTGGCCTTTCCTGGCTTGTACATTCCCTGCGCTGCCTCGTACATCTCTTTTCCCACCTCGGCCCGAGGCTTGGGTTCTTGTGTTTATCTGTTTATACTGTAGAATTTTTCTATTGACAGATATATATTTTTTTTACACATACACATATAAACGTATATTCCAGAAAATATATCTACTCTGTTTTTATTGGGGCCTTGTCTTTGGGCAGCGACAGTATAGCCAGTGTGTGGAGTGCATGTGGGATGCCCTTCGTGCTTGGCTGGTCTCCCTGCGAGGATGCTGGTGCGGTGTCTCCTGCCTGGCCATGAAGTCAGGGTTATGTTGCATGGGATACAAAAGTTATAACCGATCTATTCTTTTCTATATATATATATACATAGATAGATAGATAGATAGACAGATAGATGGATAGGAGATCATAGCCTTCAGCCCTAAGAGAACCTCCGAAAGAGACCGGAGCGGGGCTTAGGGCGTCACCACGGAGAGCAGGAAGAGTGCCGGGTGCTCGCGCGACCGGCTGTGGAGGAGCTTCTTGGCGCTTTGAACTGCAGTGATCCAAGGAGCACTCTCCTTTTTGCTGAACCTGAGTTGGGTTTAGGATTTCGGGGGTTAGGGGTTAGAGTAGAAAGGAAGGCTTCGGTGTGCCATATGTAAGCCAACAGAAAACCCACCGCCACACTCCGTCCACTCCGTCCCAGAAAGCTTAGTCGTGCGCCCATAAGTAGGGATTAGAAGGTTCCTCTTTACAGGGGTCTCCGCAAGGCTGCCTAGAAGCCCTACCTTCAAAGATCAACCGCCTTTTTGCATCGAAGCCTTCTGCTTTCAGGCTCAAGAAACGCCAACTTTGGCGAGCTCTCCTCCCCAAGTGAGTGGATCCCACTCCGGAAGGATTCTCGAGGAAAAGGCTGATGAGATCATTTTTTAGAGTTTCATAGGGGTTTGGGGTTTAGGGTTTAGTCTCAAGCTACGGTTTAGGGGTTTAGGGTTTAGAGCCATCAGAGCATGAGAGAACAGCAGACCATGGCATTTACATCCCAAGCGGCTAGAACAGTTTGTCTTAGAAGCGCCTATGATGTGGAAAGTTCATGCATATGCAATACCAACATTGTCACAAAAGGAAGCTAATCATGCTTTGCCAGACTTTTGCATACGGAACGCTTCTTTTGCATGTATTCAGCGACCTGGGTTGAAGTGCTTGGTGAGGCTGCCGGTAGCCAGCGAAGTCAAACCGCAAGCCTAAAACCTCCAAAAGGTCCGAACCCTAAATGCCCTGATTTCTAAATGCCCCGAAACCCTAGGCCTCCCGGGAGTACTGAGGCACAGGCTTCTTCAGCTTCCAAGTCTTCTTGCCCGCCTTCTTGTACTGCTCCTGAAACTCTAAGACTTTAGCCGCTTGGGCTTTAGGGTTTAGGGTTTAGGTTTCTGAAACTCTAAGACTTGAGCGGTTTTAAGGTATTCGGTGCCTGGGGCGTTGGGGGTTGGCCATAGGGTGTGGGGCTCCCTCCTAAAGGGTGTACTTCGTAGCGTTGGTGGTAGGATACCCGGAGAGCCCAACACCCCCTTAATTAAGGAATATATATATATATATACCCTAAGTTACAAGGGGCTTAATACTATGATAGTTCAGGTATATTCAGTATATTTCTTAGCCAAGGGATATACCTTAAATCATAGTTATTAAACCCCCTTATAACTTAAGGTATATATCTTCCTTAATTAAGGGGGTCTTGGGCTCCCTGGGTATCCTACCACACACACGTGGACCATCAGGAGCTTCATCCTGCTCCAAAACCCCTAGAAAAAGAAGCCCCAACAAGAGATATGGGGGTTTCCGAAAAAAAGGGGAAGGAGCCATATGAAGAGCCCTAATAGGGACCCCCCAAGCATTCTAGGTTCCTAGAATAAGGATATATTATTTCGAAATGGGGGTTTCCGAAAATAGGGGACCCTAATATAGTACCCTAAATAGTAGGATCCTTACTTTTAGGACCCCAAAATAAGGCACCTTGAGATAGCAAGCCACTCAGTCCCCACCCCTAAACCCTAAACCCAACGTAAACCTGCACACAATCCCTGCGACATGCGATAACGTGATCCTAAACCTCCAGTTCCGGCTGGAGAGATCTTGGCGCAAGACATCCAAGCCACCGTCTGCTTAGGCGCTCAAGCGCCCTGAAACCTGAGGCCTTATGCCCCGTTGAGGCTTCACAGCCTCAACATCTGCTGCCATAGCCAAAAGCTGAGTGCTGTATTGAAAGACGAAGTAAAACAACGACCCGCATGAGCTGAAAAACTCAAGGTCATATGCTGGGCCTTCTACTTCCCTGGAGCGACCAGAAGGAAGCACGGCAGACGCAGATGCCAAAAAAAGGGAGCACGGAGAGTTATGCAGGGGCCTAAATACCTCATACTATATTGGGGGAGTTCCTCATTACAATTATAGTATAACATGCCCCAAAAGCCCTATCAGTCATTATTAAGGGCCCCCTATGTTTATAGTATAATATATACCCCAAAAGCCCTACTAGTAATCCTTAAGGCCCCCCTTCTTTCTTACCAGCCGGGCCTGGACGGCTTCATAGAGATGCTTCCCCACCGCCCCAAGCCTCGGCTCCCGGAGTTCTCTCAGCGAATGTCTCTGGAAGTCGCTACCCGGTACTAGGCCCTTCGATGAGTCTTCTTCCTGGCTAAAGCTTCCGTCGTAACGTTTCTGATTCTAAGGCATGACCATGGTCACACTGGGGTTTTGCTATGATTTCTTGGCCTTGAGGTTCCATGACGGCTGCTTCGGGCGTTGCGTGGGATGTTGAGTCATATCGATGCCCCGACGGCGACGGGCTTCTGGAGAGCTAGCGGGTCCAACCGGCAAGCCGATGATTAACCTAAGTGGCCCAACCCGTCTAAGCCCTTTCTGGCCTGAAACCTCATGAACCCCCCTCAATTTTGCCCAAGGGACATGAAGAGTGCCGGATGGTCCCGTTTTCGAACCTTCAACTCCTTTCGGACACTTTGCACTGCCTTGGCCGAGTTCACCCAGATGCAGGCAGCATCATGCCACCACAAGCGTGCCACCTGGAAACCCTAAACCTGGCATCTCACATCTCGAAGAGAAGCCTCATTTTGTGACCGTCTCTCTCAGAGGATGGCTTGGATGAAGAAGGGTCATGTGGTCCACACAGCTTGGGGTCTCGGGGCTTGGCTGTTGGGTCTCAGGAAAAGGTGGCCGCGTTTGAATGTCGCCTTGTTTCTGTGGATCACAGTGATATTCATGGAAGCTTTTGTGGTGGTCGCTGTTGCTGTTGATGCCTTTGCAGGCTTTTCCTTGCGCACTCACTGTCGGGACCTTTGCGATTTAGGACACGTCTCTGAAATATATCATAGTATGACTTCGTCTAGGGACTATGAAGATAATCGAGTTTACTAACAAATACTACAATAATTCACAAAACAATGTAAATCCGTACTATTTTGTGTTGCAACGAAGCCAAAGTTGCAGCTTTCCATGGCGCCTTCTCTTTGGCCGTGAAGGGCTTCCTGGGGTTTCCAAAAAATCGGGAGGGCACATATGTTTCGCTGTGCTCCCCCCATTATCATGAAGCCTTTTTAGAGCCCATTATATAGATGTGTCGGAACAACTAGCACAGACAGCCCTTTTAGTCCGAATATACCGCTACTCCGCTACTGTAATATACCCCATAACCGTATTCTCATAACTGAAATAGAACTCCGGAAATTGTGTAGACGCCCGTTTGAAAGCCTCAAAACCCTTACGAAAGTCTGCTTCAGCCCTAAGCCCTGAACCCTTGAACCTCTACACCCTTAAACCCTGAACACTTTAGCCTCTAAACCCTTAAACCTAGCTTCAGCTCCCACTTCGCCGCTTTCTTTGCCTTCGGCGCCATGGCAGCGTCCGAGGAAGCGCTCAGGGGGAGGGCCAGCTTGAAATACGATGGCTGCGAAGGGCTAGTGCACAGGGGGATACAGTTAGGGCTACTAGAAGGAAGGCTCACGACCAAGGGATACTAGAAAGGGATACTATAAGGGATACTGTACCTTTATACCATACAAGCGATCTTGGGTTGAAGGGTTAAGATGGCTCGAGCAGCCGTCGAAGCTTCTCTGAAGACCGGGGACTCTTTACGTCGGAAACCACCCGCTTTTACGTGTGAATTTGGGAGCCCAGGCTTCCCGACTGAAGAGCGGCTCAGAAGCACCGCTAAAAAGCCGAACAGAGCTAGGCCCAAACTGCTGAAGTCTCAAACTCCGCCTCTTTTCTCTGCTTGAAGTGGAGACAAAAGGCAAGAAGAAGCAGCTGAGTGATCTCAAGGCCTCAGGTCCTTCTTAGATTGCAAAGCACCAAACTCTCAGCCCCCCCGAAGTGGCGCTTGCCTGCCGCGGCAGAGCCGCCCGGAGCAGCCATACCTGGTTTCTTGACGGCTCGGCTTTGGAACGCGCTTCAAACTCCTCGCAAGAAGAAGCCTGCGGGAGGAGCTATGTAGAGTTTCAGTGCTAGGATGAGGATGCCGGCTCTCTGGGGGGTGACGCATCAACAAATTTTTGAGGTTCATCTAAAAAAACTTGCCACAGTAGGCATCAATAACAAATTTGCTTGGAGGGTTCAGGGTTTAGACGGTAGCCATCAAATAGCAATTTGATAGGCATCAAGAAAAATTGCATGGAGGGTTTAGGATTCTTTAGGGTGTTTATCATTGTTTAAAGATGCTTCTCAAATTTTTTAGATGCTTATAGTTTTTTGATGCCTATGCCTCTCTGGGGGTATTGAAAACTCCCGAGGGGCATGGAAGTAGCGCGCCCAGAAGGCACCGCCGGAGATGGCCCAGGTGGACTTGATGCTCAGCACCTATCAGGGATTAACGGGATTGAGGGTCTTGTCCGTGAAGGGGGTTGCACCAGAAAGCGGAGCGGCCACTTGTACTCTCCGATACTATACTGTACTATACTGTACTATAGTTCCAAAATACCATACTGTAATATGGTATAATTCCACAAAAATACTATACTGTAATAATATGGGCCTTCTGAGACTTCTGCCAGTTCCAGCAGCCAACGCTGCGCATGGTGTCCGCCGAGCAGATGAACTCAATGACCGCCGGCCGGCGGTGGCAGTCGGCGTTCCTCCACACTTTTTGGCTCTTGTGTTTTATTCGAAGTAGCCACTAAACTTTTAAACCCTAGACCCTAAATGGTAACAACCACAGCTTCAAGCCGGAAGCCCAGGCTCTCAGGGCCTTGGAGTCTACGAAAAAAGGGTCCCGAAAGGGCTACGGTTGATGATATACATCCTGCAGGACCCATAATAAGGAACATACCATAATTCCCATCGTTTAGGGTCCTTAAGGTAATGCAGGATTTCTATCATCTTTGCCCCCAAGGATCTGCATCCAAAGGATGTTTGCGAGTCCGGTGCCCTGGGGCCCAAAGGCCAGGAAGGCGCCGTTGAAGAGGCGGTACCTACATTCAGGGCTTTTTGGGATTTAGGGGTTTTGGGCTTTAGGGCTTTAGGGATTTAGGGAATTCTTATCCAACTATAAAAAACGCGCGATCCTCACGCAACAGGCCTAGAGAAGTGTAAAGGGTCGAGGAGACCCATTTATAGATCACTTTACAGGAACCCCTAAAACCCTACTAGAAAAACCCTAAACTAAACCCCGAACCCACAAAAATCTGAAACCAAGAAGCTGCTGCTCGAAGGTCATTGGCTGCCCTCCGACCTTCCCGTCGAAGACCTCGACGTCACCGCGACGGCCATGTGCCTCCAGGGTCCAAGACATGCCGAAGCCCTTGGGGCGTTTTAGGCTTCTGGTTCTTAGTAGGGAATGGGGAAATGGATCCCTATGATAGTCCCTGAAGGTCCCCTTTTGTAGCCCCAATAACCCATTCCCCCATTCCTTACTAAGAACCAGTCAGTTTAGGCTTTAGGCTTCTCTCTCTCTTTCCCCATTTCACAAACCGGCTCTTTTCCCTAAAGGGCTTCATCCCTTGCTGCCAGCTCCTCCTGGCCTTCATGGCTTCTTTGACCAGAAAGAGAAGCTGTTGGTTTCTGAATTGGCCGATGATGCGGCCGTGCTTGACGAAGTCTCGCCTTGGGTCTCGAATGGGCAAAGGGCTCTTAGACCCATTATTAAGGGATGTTTGGGTTCCGATTATAATATAAGGTATATATTCCGTAAGTAAGGGATATTGGAGCCGTCGGTTCGGTTCCTCTGTGTTTTCTGAAGGATGAGTCAGGCGCTCCGTCATTGCTTCATTCGGGTCCTTCAGGTCGGGTGAGCTGCGGTTGAGGAAGCTCTGTAAGCAAGGTTTCGAAGTAAGCTCAGATTCTAAGCCCATGAGCATTCAATAACTCCTGCATCTGCAAAGCCAAAGCCTTTATCAGGTCAAGCCTCTCCCGCTGATAAGCGATGGCACGTACCATCGCCTGCGAGGTTTTCAGCCGGCGGATGTGCGACCTCGGTTTAGGGTTTTAGGGTTTTGGGCTTTAAGGTTTTAGAGTTCAGGGTTTTAAGATCAATCTGCGATTTTGCTACCCGGTCAAGCTGCATGCCCCTAGCAAGACCCACGGACAAACTCTACTTGGCAGTCCGTGCTTGTTTCCTTTTGAAAACGGCAGGGGCTCACCTCTCGGCATGGTCCATGCGCAAAAGCCCAAAATCATGGCTGCTGGCTTTTATTGGGTTCTCGCTGGTGGTGCCTCGCCGTTGATCTCATCGCAAAGCTATTGCTGACGAATGGAGTCATGGTTTGCCCTGTCACTTCGCCAAGAATTGTTTGTTGGCTCTGATACCGGTCGTCCATATAGCTGCAGCAGCAGCAGCAGCAGGAGTAGTAGTGGTAGCAATCACAGTAGTCGCCGTGGGTCGACACCACGTAGTAGGCACTAACCGCTGCTATCATGATTGTGACAATTGAGAAAGTCATAACCATTGGAACAACAGCTGGCTTGAAAGTGAAACTTTTGACAACTCAGTGTATGTGATCGCCTTTGCCGGCAATGCTTTTTTCCATGTTGTCAAAGCTGAGGCTGATCTTGCTTGATCATGATGTGTTTTCCTGCTTTCATCGCGACATCACATCTTTCCTGCTTGTGACTGTTCTCATCAACCTTCAGAGAAAGCGTCCGCAACGGACGCCACAGGCTGAGGAGCCGCATGTTATCCTTGGAAAGCACGGCAGGTACTTACAAGGTGGAAAATTGTGCTAAGAAGGGGTCCGTGAACTTTTCGGCTTCAGTGTCGAGAGTGTTGCATGGGCCGAAGACACTTGGACAAGGGTTTTGAGCTTCGGCTTTTTGCGGGGATTCGTTGGGAGCTTGACCCCTTGATCCTTCAAGCTAATAAGAAATGCGAACAAGGCGAACAAAGCTTTCTTGACCCTTGTTGAGCAATGTTGGATTCTCTCCCCACGGCCTTTAGCATCTGTTCTTCAAGGAGCCAGGCAATCCGGTGGAAGCAGGCTGAACAGCTTGGAGGTACACACGCAGTTGCTGTCATACGCGTTTGTCAGGGTCTCTTATGTCGGCTCGTAGAAGCGTGTCGCAGTGGCTTGGTCGTCGCGGTTGCGGTGGTCCTATTGGGGCTCCGGTCCTGGTGGTCCTAGTCGGCATGGTTGGTTGTGATGGTCGTCCTGGTGGCGGTCGTCCCGGTTGTTCGTGGTTGTCCTTGTATCATTGGAGTCTTTACAGTACATTGTGCTCACTGTTCGGAGATCTGTGTTGGCATAGTAATACTACCCTGAAATTCCTCAAAACGAGAAACCCCTGAGCAAAGCCTTGAAAAAGCCCCCGTCAACCTAGTTCGACAACCCCAAAGGCCCTTTTAAACTCATAAACCCTACAAGGAACCTTAACAAGAACCCTAAAAGGAATCCTTTTGGGTTCCTCGAAGAACTGCCAAACTTTGCAACACAGCTCGGGGCGCGCGATACCGGTCTTGGCCTTGAGCAGGGACAGCCGGCCCTGCGTGCACACGACCTGAAGTCAATTGGGGCTTAGGGTTTAGGGAGTTTAGGGCTTAGGGTTTGGGGTTCTATAAGGGTTTCGGGCTTAGGGAGTTTAGGGCGTAATGACGTTGAGGAGCATGGATGAAGAAGCTGAAGCTGAGGGTTATCTGGGGGTACAGGCGCTGTGGGGTGGGGTTGGGGCTCTGGGTTGAGCGTTCAGTTTTCAGATTTGGGTTTAGGGTTGAGAAGCCCAATATGCCCGAACCTTGGTCAACGTCTTGTATCCTAAACAAGCCCTGCTGCAACGCCTTTAGACCAGACACCCTCAACACTAAACTGATAATTCTATGGGGCTTAATTGCTTGAATGGGGCTTTGGGTACAATAGATGAAACCTGAGGAATAATTACTGTACCTATTCAGGCCCCTTAAAGTAACAAAGCTTACGCCTCTGTCTCGTTCGTGAAGACCAGCCTCCGTGTCAGGTCTCCTCGGGCATCGCTAGAAAAGTTGCCTTGAGTGCCGTGTAAGGTTTAGGGTTTACGGTCTAGGGTTTAGGGTAGGGTATTTAATACGGGTCTGACAATTCGGAACAGGGGTTGGGGCGTATTTTTGTGGGTTTGACTATGCCAAACGATATCAAGGATGCTCTTATTAGGTGTTCTGGCCTCCAAAGTAGGGTGTGGGTTGTAAGATCTTAACCAATGCTTTGTTTTGAGCGTTTTGGAACCACCGACATCCCAGATGGAGGTGCTGTGCCTTGCTGCCAGAGTTGAGCAGATTCAGGGCGGTAGATGATTGGCGTGTCCCCGAATCCTACCGACTCAAGCCGAAATGAATCGCCTTTGCATCCGTCTTGAAGGCAGTCAAGCGTCCATCGTACCATTGCATGAAGCTTGCAATGATGCCTTCCTGAATCGGCGAGTTTTGCTGTGAGGGTACCAGGGATTCAACTTTTGGGGTATAAAGGATGCCTCCAAAAAAGGGATTCCAGAAACCTCAACTGCAAACGAGGAAGACTCCTCTTCGAGCCCCGGGCACTGGGTCCCTTTGAAGCACCAGCGTTGATTCTCGCTCTTCTGTCGCCAGGAAGTGGAGGAGCGGCAGGAGATCCAGAAGAAGGTGCCCATACTGGAAGTTCCTTGGGAGGTTGCTACTCGCTGGTGTTTTTGACTGCTGTGATCACTATGTTGATGGCCAAAATTGCGTGCCTTGCCTTCGGCACACCACAACTGTCGGAACTATGCGGCTTTACGGATAAGGATAAGGCCCGGTTGTTGTCCATAAGTAACAACGATAGGAGTCATATTTCGGGGCAGCCCAGAGTCTGAGGGGAGAGGTGTCGGTAGAAGGCAACGGGCCCGGAGAGCTCCAGGTCACAGTCCGGGGGTCCTCAAAGGGATACCAAGCATGGCTTCCTTGGGACTTCAGATGTGGGAAGGTGTGCTCTGTGTGTTGTCCTGTTTAGACAATGAGAAGCTAAAGTCAAGAGCCGCAGAGGTGTGAGGAGGCCTTACAAATTTCGTCGGCCAAGGTTCTTTCGTTATTCGGCTCCTAGGCCAGTATTTGCAACAGCCATTGTCACCGGAATCTTGCTGTTAAGATTATTCCTAGGCGTGTGGGCGGTGCTGCTGCGATATTTTCAGCAGCAGCAGGACAAGGAGGAGCACGGGAGGCGGAGGAGTAGTGGTAGTGGTAGCACAAGGGCAAGTACTGCAACGGCTAGTAAGCCAGTACTGGTGCTGCCACCGCGATTTCCCTGCTTCCCCATGGGGAAGACTCATTTGCAGCGCCGAGTCCTGTTTGGAAGGGGATCGCCAGGCCGGAGAAGATCGAGGCGCTACCTGGCTAGGAAGGATGGGATTTCCCCCCCGCCCCCCCCCCCCCACAGGGTTTAGGGTTTAGGGTTCGTCATGAGACCGCGGTTAGGGTAAATGCCGCAACAGAGCAAGCATCACAATGACCATACTAGATTGAACTTGTGAAGTCGAAGTCTAGCGTAAAGGCTTCTCTGCCACGAGTGGCTCGGGTCCCTGCTAGCGTGTGTATATTCGACACGAACATGTCGACGGTTTGCAGACGTGTGGCTATCATTGGTCCACACCTCGGTTCGCCATTCCAGGTAGTTAGGGCCATGCTCCGAAAGCACGAACCTCAGCGCAGCCATCGGCAACGAATGCCTATTGGAACCCCCCCCTCCCTCCCCGAAGGTTTCGCGCATTGATCAGGTTATAACACACTTCCCGTAATGCATGGTACCGCAGGCTTAGGGTTGCTAAACGGCCCTCAGCCCCCAACACAATCCCATCAACTCTGGATCCTGGAAGTCGCACGTAGGTCGTAGAGGCCTAGAACCCCCAAACATGAAGCCTCAAAAGAAATCCTACCGCCCGGTGCTGGCCCAAAACCCAGCAAACTGAAACCACGTGTCCGAGGGGTGCCCAATGACTAATGGCCTCTATAATTAATGCAAGATGAGATGCTGGCGACAGGGCGGGTCTTTCGCCGCATGGGGTTGTGGGAGGGGGGTGGTGAAAGATGAAATTATGTCTTTCCACCGCGTGAGGTGTGGGGTTGGGGGCGGGGAGGGGGGTGAAAGATGAAATTGTATCTTTCACCGCGTAAGTTTGCAATTGACAGATAAAATCCAATCTTTGACTGCGTGGGTTGGGGGCGGGGGTGGGGGGGTGGTGAAAGATACTGCTTACTCAGCCCGCGAGGCCTGCTTGAGGAAGAGGAGGGAAGTGTGGGGACTACGGTGAGGGACCTTCAGGGAGCATTATAGGGTTCCAATCTCCCTTGAGCACCAGCAAGAAGACTTGAGGAGTAAACACGCCAAGCCCTAAACCCTAGAGTAAACTGACTTGAGGAGTCTAACCTCAGATTCTGCTTCTGCTTCTCACAACCCTAAACCCTTAAAGTAAACCTTATAGGAGAAATCCTTCAAGGAACCCCTGAAAAATCACGAAGCCTTAAAAGAAGACCCTGTTGGTGGACTCACAGCACACATAGAGAGCTGGCTTTGCCCAGCTCCTGGCTCAATAGGACGGTTGTTAAATCCTGCCCTAAACCCTACACCAAACTCCAAAAATGAAGAAGTAAAGAACTCAACTTCTTTGCAGTTAAACTTTCGTCAAAAGCTTAGCTCATTTTTTACCGACCCTGAACCCTCTTCCCCACTCAACCCTAAGCCCAGGCACCATGTCAGCGTTCTTGACGGCTTCATGGCGGGTGAAGGGATGGAGTTTTATCTTTCGCAGCTGAAGGTCGGGGCAAGATGAGCCTTTTATCCCTAAACCCTAAGCCGTGTTGAGGTTGGCTGGCCAAAAAGACTTGGATGTTGGACTAGTTCTCACCAAGGGGCCGAAACCGGCCGCCCACAACGGAGACCAACTCAAAGGTCCTGGAAAGGACAGGGTTTTAGGGCTCCTGGGTCGATAATCTGGGTAGTTGTCTAAATTGGGGTCCTTTTAGGGTCCCGTTTATAAGGGTGCCGTGCTATATTAAGGACATAGAAAGGGACCCTAATTTAGAGAACTACCCACCTCGCTTTGCCAACTTACACTGACCTTGGTGATCCTCACCACCAATGAGAACAGGTTGCTGTACCCTGTGTCGGGATGACTAACAGCCAAATTTGAGCCTTAATTTCTAAGTCAAGGCTTCGCGGAACATCATCTTATAAGTGTATGGGAACTTTTCCGGGAATTTGATAGTATTTCTAATTACTCTTACCCTAAAACCCTAGACCCTACTATAGTATCTCTAATTGTTCATACCCCCCCGAACCTACTCCCTAAACCCTAAACCCTATAATTGTTCGTACCCCTCCCCCCGAAACTACTCTGTTCGATCAAAGTCGAAGGTTCGGAGCCGCCTGGGGCCCGGGCTTGGGTTCTCTCTGGGGCGTTTGGGTCGAAGCTGAAGCGGGCAGGAAATATGATATAATACAATCTGATATGATATGATATGATATGATATGATATGATATAAGAGAGTATAGTATAGTACAAGAAAATGTAATATAGTATCATAGTATTAGATGATAATAATCAACTATAACATGTGGATGGATCTTGTGTTGGTAGGTGTCTGGGTGCTCCTCAACCCTAATGCCCGAAACGCTCATCCCCAAAAACCCCGAAGCCCCTGCAACACGCGGAATCGAAGGCATCGACGATGGCATTTCACGGGCACGTTGACATCTCGGTGTTAGGAAACATCTTCTGGGTTCTGGTTGAGGAACTTCATTCATAATAGAAGGGACAGCACATCATGTACCAGATCTTGCTAGCACAGCAACTTCAAGTCAACTCCCCATTAAACTGAACCCTTGTAATGCCCTCATAAGACCCTTCCCGCATGGCCCAAAGAACACGGGATTACATCCTTGTGTAAGCCGTTCCCTTGAAGCAAGAGTCCCAGTCTACAAGCTATGGGCCCCAAACAAGACATAAGGGTAGGTTCAATAAGCCTGTTCCCACGGGATGTATGCTTACCTTGTTGGGCTTTAAAGAGGCGTATGAGGGACATCCCTGCCCTATCAATGTTTTCCCCTAGCTTCTTGCTTGTTCCAAAAAGATGCTGCGAAGCGGCTCCGCCACCGGTCGTGTCGCTCCAGCGGCAACCGATCGGAAGAAGAGCTGCCAATTTCGGTGAACCACTCCTGGGGCTCTTAGGCCTTGAGAGTTTTAGAGTCCGGGGTGGGTTGAGGCCCAAAAGCACCAAAAACAACTCCGGCCGTATTCGATACAGCAGCAAGACAAGCATGTACACAGCCGTCATGGTACTGACAAGCATGATGAGAAATTTGGCTGCATTCAATTATTAACAACAAGAGTGTCCAATCCACCGATATTGTCACAGCACTGACAAGGAGCTTGGCACCAGTAGTGTCCACGATACACATGATGCATAAGAGTTGGAAAGCAGCGCACCCAAAGAAGCAACATTGGAAACATCATGCAATCAAATCGCAGTATCACTAGTAACTCAGTTATAAATGAGGTAACTGTACTTAAAACTACTTGTAGCCCCAATTGAAGTACTTCTAACCTTACTTACTATGTCCAATACCTCTGCTTCTAGCAGTCGAGATGATGCGTGCGGGCGTCGCCGCACGAGGGCTGGGTCCACGTAAAGCTCAGCTTTTCCTTGGCAACTTGAGGATCCTTTCAGAAGTTTAAAAGAGCTCGTTCTCAATTACTCGTCTCAGGGAAATAGCTTTTTTTTGGGGTTTTGTTTTGCTGGGTATGTAAGGACCATAAGAAGTTTGTTGAGCTTTCAACCGTTTGGGATCGACTGGCGATGGGCCAAGCAGGCTACTTTGTCAATAGGTTTGGGTGGGGCTCCCTCCTCCCTCCTCGCTCTCCCTCCCTCCCTCCCTCTTTGCCGTCTTCTTACAGGTTATAGGTTCACATCTACGAGAGAAGCTACGACGTTAAAAGTTAAAAGCATGTACCTGTTCCTCCATGCTGCATATGCAGGGGCATGCGCGCGTACACTCCTAACTTCACTTGCAGGGAACACACGACGCGCATGCACATGCGCAGATACTTCAAAGCATCTGATCATGCACTCACTCGGAGACATCAAGATGCCTTTCTGTGAGCTTGTATGAACATGCATCCAAAAATGCGCATGCATGCGTAATGAAGATACTTGCATCAAACAGTCAGGTACACGCTTACATACCGCAATGACCATACAGGTGCCCCACACATGCAGCCAGCGACAATAAAGTGTTTTTTGCGTTGGTGTGTGTGTGTGTGTGCATGTAGACGCTTACAGTGTTTCATGGGCGGGGTATGGGTACGTAGGAGCTGAATGTCGGAAAATTCGGAAGCAACACTAAGCTGGAGGCCGAAGTAAATGGTTATGCAAACGGGGGTTCCTCTTTTCACTGTCGAACTCAGGACAAAGCTGTTCTGAACCTTCATAGGCGCTTGCACCGGCCTGATGGGAAAACTTATGCGCGTGCCAACGTCGCAGGACGTTTCCAGGTTCGTGGACGAAGGCCGACAGCGAAAGGTCAGCTGAACTTGATCTTAAACCCTAAGACATGAACCCGGAATCCTTTCATGTTGAGGGTTTAAGGGCATTCTTGCGGTTTTGGGGGTTGAGGGTATGTTTTGGTGTTTGGGATTTCAAGTTGGTTTTGAAAGTCGAAGACCAAGCAGCCGGCTGTCTCTTTCCAGTCACAGTCGTCCGCGTCCAACCTCTGAGCATGGGGAAGCAGCCACGATCAGTTTTCTGCGAGTTCCGGCAAACCTCGGAATCAAGAGTTCTCTGCAGAGAGTATGTGATGAAGAGCCAGCTAACACATCTGCATCAGTTCGCGTTGCATTCTATCCTTGTGCAGCTTCTCAAAGCCTACCTAACATACCATGCCATGCTGTGTTTCTTGTAAGACTGGACAACTGCACTGCTCAGAGCATGCCGACAGACGCCCATCTGTCCAAAGACTCATGGCCGAACGTCACAAACGAAGCCAAAACCTTGCACACCTGAAGGAATCTTAGAATTAGAGCATCCTAGAATTGAGGCACTGAATAAAAAGGGCTCATATGAATCAGGGGCCTGCATTCACCCTCTAAAGCCGTCTGAGCACCAATCCCAAAACCCTAAACTCCGATCCCCACACGGGTCAGGGGGTTAGATATTCTACTATAGTAATTATAATCAGGACCCCCAAAGTAACATAGGTAACTATGAAGGCCCCTTGTTTTACCCCAGCTCCGGAAGGAAAGCTTCCGCACGATTCCTTGTCGACGAGGCTCAGGGTCGCAGGTGGATGGGTGGGAGCCAAAGTCGTTGGCACTGCTGGGGTTCTGGGCCTCACGTAGAGAGATGAGGAGGTTTAAGGTCTAGGGTTTAGGGGAGGGTAGGGGGACTTGAATAAAATATTTCTTTTCGGGTTTGGGGACTCCAGGACTTGAAGTTCTGAAGGGCGCTAGGCTTTACTGGGGGAATTTGGGGCGGCTGGAGCTTTCTTGGCTGCATGGCTCAGTTCAGGGCGGGGGTATAGGCTTGGGGGTTTTTGGGGCCTGGAGCCTGGGCTTTCCAAGGCTTGGAATTTTTGGGTGCTTTTTTTGGTTTAAGGTTTAGGGGTTTAAGGGCTTTTTTTGGCATCTTGTCCTCTGCTTCTTTCCTTCGGAATACGAGGAGAATGCACCAGTTGAGCTTCTTGCGTTTTCGGGTGTAGGGCTGAATGGGGGAATCACGACAGGCAGCCCTTGCAAAACAGTTCTGGCGAAGTGCCGGTACAGGAGTTTCAGATCTTGCATATGGTGTTAGGGACTTTGGTTTTAAGGTTGTGGTCTTTATAGGCTTTAGCCACAGACACCCCTGAGGCCGCGCCCTACGTCCACACTGGACAAGACGATCCTTTTCAGGAATCCACCCTTTTTGGTCACTCCCTCCTCTTCTGCCCAACCGAGTCACCAAGGATTTCCCTTCCCTGCCTCGTGGCTTGGAGGCTGGTCGAAGTCGGAGTTGAGCTTGACCTTTTCAGGGCCCGAATCCCTTCTGCCCAGTGCCCGAAATCCCCCCCCCCCCCCCCCCC